AGGATGCAGGAAGCATGCAGCTTACAAAAGGGAACTCTAGGCATTCGAGTCTGGAGCATGTTCGTTTTTGGTTTGTGTAAGAGATTGGCTGGGGGTCTTCAGTATAGTTCTCCAAGGGTTCAAGTTAAGGTCCATTTAAAGGGGTCAGGTGCAGCAGATTTCCGTTCCAGAAAAAGGACCGCACTCCTCACATATCCTGATGAAGGCTACAAAGCCCTACCTTGGTTTTGCAACGGTTTTTGATTTAGGGTTTAGGGTTAAGGGGTACAATTTGAATATATATATATATATACACCTATGGCCTTTAATATGATCCTTAATATAGACTGTTAGAGGGTGGGGGCAGTATTTAAATATTTAAGCCGGCTTCACATTTCTGCTCCTGCCAGGTGGATGCCAGCGCCTGCCAGATGCCCATGGGTGCCTGGGCTTAAGAATGTATTCCTGGAAAGGCCAAGTTACCCTAGATAAGGGGCTATTATGACTGACATCTGGAGAATAGTTGCCCTAAACCCTTGGCAAGGTCAGTTTTATGTTATGTGGAAGGAGCGGGAATTTGCAGCATTCAGGCGAGGGAGATTCATCTTGCGGGCCGCTGCTGTGTTTTGCCGAAGTATGATTGACATTTGGCAGTGTCCCAAAATAGGGGGACCCCAATGTAGACCCCGATATACTAGAATCCTTATTATGGGGACCCCCAAAAAGGTACCCTTAATTTTAGGAAGCCCCTATTTGGGAGGACCTTGGCACCCCGGTCTAAGGTTAGGGCCTTGACCCCGCACCCCATGATGATGAATGTTCGCATTGCGAGCCGACAGAAAAGCAGGAAATCCTTCCTTAGGAAGCATGTGGGTCATATTTATGAGGGAACGGGATTCCCTGGTCAAAAATGAGTACCTGGTCAATAAAGTTGGGAATTTCAGATTCACTGAGCATTCGCACGCCTGCGGTACCAAGTTCTGTTGTCAGAGCAGCCAGGGGAGAGAAATGGCCATGCAGTTTTGTCTAAACTCGAGTATATAGAGGCCTGTTATAGAGGTTATGCCGGGGGATACTAGGAGTTGAGACTATGGCTCACATGAGCAAGCCCAAGCCCAAGCTTGAGCAATCTTTTCATCGGGGAGTTTCCAGAAACACAGGGCGGCCCCCAAGATAGACCCGAATATATTAGCTGAGGGTTTAGGGTTTGGGGTTTAGGGGATCCCCCAAGAAAGACCTCCACTTCACAAAGAGCAAGGAGGCCCATGCAAGCTTTTCACAGAGACGTTATGAGTCGCTTGTATCAGCTAGAGTCTCTACTCCTTAAAGGGGGTTATTTGGAGGATTGACTATCAGGAGAGTGTAGGGTTTATAAAGGGGGATGCTAGGAGTTTAGAATATGGCTCATATCAAGCTGTGAAGCCTTTCGAGGACTCCAACATTACGCTTGGACCACCTCCATATTAGCTGTAGGGATATGAGGGGTTTCCTAAAAAACAGGGGTACCTACTTGGGGTTGCCATCAGAATTGCAGGATTTCTGGGGTCTATATTTTGGTCCCCCTATTTAGGGAAACTGCCAATATGTACGCAGGGACTCTCCCCTGCATACTCTCAGAAGTGTTCTTCCAAGATGAGAGCCACAAAGCCAGCCAAGAGAAATTCCACGACACCCAAGGCTCCAAATGTTCCCAAGCCCCACAACCCCAAAGTTTAGGGTTAAGGGCTTAGGATTTTGGATTTATTGCTCAGGAAGTAGGGAACCCCGGGCACCGAAGACCCAAAAGCAAGCACCTCAAAACCTTGCAATAACAACCCTAACCCCTGAAATTCCCAAACCTTGAAGTCCAAACCTTCAAATTCCTAAAGCCTCCGCAAAGCCTAATGTTCTAGAACATGAAACCTAGAAGCCCGAAAGCCTTGAGCTTCAAACCCTATCCTTCTCTATCTATAATCCATTTTAAGGCACCCCGTAACCAAAAACCTAAACCCTGAACCCTACAACCTAAACCACCCAAGCGCCATTGAAGCCCACGCTGCAAGGTCGCCTATCTCGCGCGATGAAGATAAGGCCGCTTGGGAGCCTGCACTTGGATTTGAGAGTTTCAGGGTTCAGGGTTTTACGGCTTAGGGTTACGGTTGAGGGGTTTAGGTTTTAGTGTTTGAGGTTTCAGGGTTTAGGGGTTATGGTTGAAGGATTTTTTAGGGTTGAGTGTCTAAGGTTTAAGGCTTTAGGGGTAAAGGTTTGAGGGTTACACTCCCCAAACTAACATGACACCCCTACAAGGGCTCTATATGGATGATTTTTTCTAAAACTGGGGTCAAAATGGGGTTCCATGTTAGTTTGGGGTAGGGTTGATTTAGGTTTACAAGCTTAAACCCTAAACTTCAATACAAAACTCTAAACCGCTCGGGTCTTTGGCATGCTTTGAAGTGTTTATTCCGTGGCTGCTTGGTCTATGGGGTTCTCAGGGCCCAGTTGCTTTGGGTCTAGGGTTTAAGATACATCAGCAGTGGTGGTATATGGGACTTTTTAATGCGTCATGTGGGTCCTCTTTCTTTTTGAAGCCCTTAACGGGATTGCGGATGTCGTGCAGGATCGTCTTGGCAGCAGCATTCTGGCAGCATCCGCACATCCTTATTTTGGATGAGCTGGCTGACTACATGGATGTTGAGGACCAGAACTGCACCTGAACAAAATGCAGCTAAAACAGCCGCTGTGAGCATATTGCTGACTATGCTAGGAGTATCTGCAGACTGCCCCAGCATCGTCATAGCAGTTCTCAGAGTAGCAATAATGTTTGTCATTGTAACAGGAGTAACCACTATGCTAAGACTCCTTGGGGCTTCTCTGAGTGCCAGCAGCCACGCAGAGGTAGACGTATTAATAACAACTGGGTACCTGCTCTGAATCGCCGAATAGGATACTCAAGGTGTTTGAGTCCAGGCCCCCCTCACGCCCTACTTCTTGAAGTTCAAGCCCATCATGGCAAGATTTCAAGCTGCCCCTTGCTAGCCTTGAGCGCTGGATGCGAGCGCTTGGAAGGATCTTATATGTGGATTTCCTCAAGTATCTATCTTGCAATATCTGCGCTACCTGGAGCTTTAGCATACGAGCTATAGTATAAACTCCTGGTATCCACTTTAATATTCCCTCTTATAGTCCAGTATAAAATTCCCTATATGACCCCTTTAGGGAGTTCAGACTATAGCTCATATGGTGCGAGGATGCAGCCTCAAGAAGCATGTCTCGACGCTTGACCCCTTCATCCCAAACCGCAATCTCAAGGTTTAGGGTGTAGGGTTGAGGGTCCCAAAACCCTGACGATCTTCCAGAATCCTTACACTGAAACACCTAGCTTTGGGACAGCTCTGCATGCCCGCAGGACACCCAAGCTCTTCGCTGCGCGTTGGACCATTTCGCCGGTGGTGTCATCCTGGTCTCCTCCAACGCAACCCGGCTCGGGTTTTAGGTTGAAGGGTTATGGGGCTATATAGGCTTCATATAATATAAGGATTATAGGAAGTATGTAGGGGTTATATTGGGATCATGGAAAAGAAAATGGAAACCACTAATTAGGATTTAGGGCTTTAGGGTTGAGGGAATTGGGTCAGTTGTCAGGGAAATCGTCTCTAAGAGACACTAAGCACAGCAATGGTTCGGTGTTCAAGATCTGAAGGGGAACCATATTCCGTGTTTCGAGTCTTAAAGATTTTTTAGCATGTCACGTCCTATGTTGAACAATTTCAGGGTCTTAGCTGCTGCCTCAAGGTCTTCCCGTTTCCCGCGTACACCCAGTCATTTATGCGCATTTGGCACATCAGGAGCAGCTCTGCAATGACTTCGCCAATGAGAAGTGGTTCATGGATGAGGGCCTGCTGCACGTGGAAGGAAGCTTCAAGGAGCCCTCAACCCTATACCCTGAACCCTAAACCCTAAACCCTAAACCCTAAACCCTAAACCCTAAAACCTAAGCTCTGAACCCTTAGCCCTAAACCCAAATCAGTTTCTTCTGGTTTGGTCGAACGGGCTCAGGGCTTATGGTATCAGGATGCGTGCTCCAGGTTGAGTGATTTGGCTCAAGGTCGGGTGGTTTGGGGCATCAGGGCCTGGGATGGGGTACAGGGTTTAGGGTTTGGGGTTTGGGGTTTAGGGTTTTGGGTTCAGGGTTTAGGGTTTAGGGTTAAGGGTTTAGGGTTTGGGTTTCAGGGTTAAGGGTTAGGGTATAAAGTTCAAAGTTCAAGCTGCTTTGAACGAAGCTAGAACTTGGGTGATCGCTGTCTAGTTTGGATTGTGACTGACTGCATGTAGGTGGTGTTAGAGCCAGTGGATGTCAAGAGTCGCAGACAACCTAATCTGGCAACAAAGACGAGCTGAAACTTCAGGCTTTGGGGGTTTAGAAAGATTAGGGGTCCCTCTGTGAAGTGTCTATACTGTGAAGTATAGAGTCTTGGGGGTACTGTTGATACTAAACATCCTGCATGTGTTTAGAAAAAAGAACGCATCAATTCCCAAGGTATAAGGTACTGAGGGTCATGTAGGCTTTTTAGTGTCCACCGTATGGGAACGGAATTCCTATGTTTGAAAAATGCCCATGTCTTGTCCCATCGCTGCCATGAACTCCACCTGCGTTTAGGGTTTGGAGTTCAGGGCTTCCCGGCCAATAGCTGGGTCTTCGTGATGTGTAATCCCACTTGCCATGGTTATGGAATGCGTGCATCCTAGGCTCAGGACATCTTCCGAACCCAAGCAGCCCGACCGAAGTAGGTCTACTTAGCATAGCTATGCAAGGAATGGGGACCATAATGCTGGTGATTATTGAGTCTTCTGTAGTACATGATACATAAAAGCCGCTGTACAATGCCGGCTGCCCATTCATTATCAATTTTCTTTTCCATTTGGCTCTCCATTATAGGGCTAACGTCCCGAAATTCTAAGGCCTCAAAAGCCCCTCCCCATAAGGCCCTAGACCTTAAACCCTAAATCCTAAATCCTGAGCCCTAAACCCGAAACCCTGCGAGGATGACATCCACTGTGCCGCCAAGACGGCTACGGCACCTGCTGAGCCCTCCGACTGATCATTCAAGAGAAGGATTTTGGGTTAAGGTTTCAGGATTTAGGGTTAAGGGATTGGGGTTTAGAGTTTGCACATTGAATATCAGGGGGGGTGGGGGGCATACATAGAAATGATAAACTCAAGAGGGTTCAGGGTTTATGTCTAAGGACTTGGGGGTTAGGGACAAAATGAAAAATGTTCTTTGTGAGGGTTTCAGCAGAGCTGCTGTCGTAGCTGTAATGCAGAAGCCTGAATAAGTCCCAATATTCTTCCCTTATCATCCTTATGCGAGCTACAGCCTAAACTCCTTAAAGGGAAATCATATAGGGGATTATATACGGGACTGCTATGGGGGTTACTAAGCGAGATACTAGGAGTTCAGACAATCGCTCATATAGCTACAAGATGATATACCCCCAAACCCTATTCTAAAAAGATAGGTACTTACATTACCTTGCATTCGAATGATCTGGCAACAGCGTTTCATTGTCTGATGACCGGGGCTTGCAGTTTACCAAGTGTCGGCACGACAGCTCATATCTTATCGGTGCTTGAAGGGTTGTGGTGGTGTGGATTTCTACAACAATCTCAAAGTAATCCCGTAAGTATCCCTGCACCTGGGTCCTCAGCCAGTCATAAACCCTGATCCATGACTCTATACATATATATATATATATTGGTATATCATGGTATATTATAGTATGTTATAGTATATTATAATATATTTTTCTATATTTTAGTATATTTTAGTATATTTTAGTATATTTTAGTATATTTTAGTATACTATAGTATGTTATGGTATATTATAGTATAATAATTCGTCATATCGTGGGACCTTCCTCTGTGAAGAGCTTGGAAGGCGCAGGATGCCCTGGCCCTGCCTGCGCGGCACAGCGCGCTCACCCGGTTGACACAACACCCTGGGCGCCCTGAACTCCAAGTCCAATTCCAGGGTTTAGGGTTTAGGGCTCCAAGTCTACATGTACAAGAAAACTCTCAGGCCTAAGCAACTGAAACCTTACGAACCCTAAACCCTAAACCCTTAAAATTCTAGGACTCAGAGTCAGGAAGTCCGCACAGCAACCAGGTCAGCACGCCAGCACATTGCCGAGATCGAGCGGCGCATGCGCGAGCACCGACGAAAACCTCTGACGGACAAGGCCCAGTGGCTGTCAAGGGAGAGTAATGGGGAGGAGACGGGTTGTGCCCGTGTGTCATAGATGGGGCCCAAATTAGGGATACCACTGTGGGGATGCCTCTAATAAGGATTGTAATGCTTCGGGGTCTGGACTGCGGTTCCCCTATTTTGGGAAACTACCAGATGATAAGTACGAGGCATTATTTGTAACATGGAGATCCGATTCTGGACAAGGTCCTGGGGCGGCCTCAGCTTTCTGCGCGAGGTTGATTCGCTGTAGTTCTGAAAGTGTATGTGGTAGCTTCCCTGAATAGGGGGACCCCAATACAGACCCCAAAATACGGTAATCCTTAAAAAGGGACCCCGCCAAAAGGTACCCAAAATTTTGGGAAACCCCCATGTTCAGTGCCTTGGCCTTACGCTCCAAACCGACGAGGACATCGGATTCTTTGGTGATGCAGTTTCAACGAGTATGCATGCTTTGTCGCCTTACCTGTGCAACTGTGTTCAAGTGCTGGTGGCCAAAACTTGAACCCCTGAGAGCCCGAGTGAGCCTGAATCTCTTGTGGTACTTCCCAGAAAGATGGGCTACCCCTCTATACAACCCAAAATGCACAATCCTCACTATCTTCCCCCCCCAAAAAAGGGACCCCTAATTGTGTGAAACCCTAAACCCTAAACCCTAAACCCCTAAACCCCTAAACCCCTAAACCCCTAAACCCCTAAACCCTAAACCCTAAACCCTGAACCCTAAACCCTATCCCCCCTATAACCCCCTTTAAAGGGACCCTATTATTTGGGTCCTTGGACCCTATTGAGAAGCCAGGAGCTGTGGCAACTGGAGGATGAACTTCACGAGCTAAAGGAGCACTGCAAAGTTGGTAATCATTCAGGGCTTTGGGGTTTAGGGTTCAGGGTGTAGGGTTTAGGGTTTAGAGGTTTAGGGGTTTAGGGTTCAGGGTTTAGGGCTTAGGGCTTAGGGTTTAGGGTTCAGGGTTTGGGGTTTAGGCTTTAGAGCCCTGGATACTTGTACTAGTTTTGGCACTTCGTATGTTGGGGTAGAGAAGCAGTACTGTACACCGGAAACTGTGGGGGGCCCCTTGTGCTTAGGTCTAGGTACGGAATTGGGGTTAGAAGGTTGTGGCCCTTTTTTGCTGAGGTTGGGTTTTAGGACGTGGCGGGCTTTGTGTACCCGCGTCTTGGAATAAAGGTTGTAGCGCTATAGGCGCATGAGTCATAGGATCCGGAAGCTGCCAAAACACGAATAAATGAAGAATGCTGGCATGGTCTTGGCTGTTTCTCACAAAGGGTGCCAGTAAATCATCTCGCATGATGGGACATCATTGATTGCTTCACTAGAATATGAAACATGTAGGCGCGGAAAGCATCTCTATGATCACAGCTTATGGGGGTTTCCCATGCTTAGGTACCATTTTGGGAAAACCAATATGGCAGAATGGAAGTAAGGCAGGAGTCTCCACAGGGGCTTGGCGTTCCACCCCATGCTTCCTGCCTTCACCTGCATAGGTGGACTCTGGCAGAAGGACTTCACCGGAATGATACGCGGAACCATAGAAACCCCAAACCGCTACTGCTCAGGGCGTCGACAGCCCTAAGGCTTTGAAGGAGGGGTGTGGGGCTGAAGCCTGTGCATTTGGTTTTGGACATGGCCTTATATGGTACATTGTAGCTTCTTCCCTTGAGGCACATGCATCAAGGACCGTAGTGCTATTAGGGGACCTATTTTGCAGAAGTTTCAGTACGTCCAAGAAGTGGGGACCAGGCTGAAGTTAGAGGCAGAGACTTTTACATGTCATTGCCGTTCTCCCCGTCATTGAAGCAAGGAGTGGGAATCCCCCCGGTAAGAAAGTGCCCGAGGCATTCGGGCTGTGCTTGCTTGCAGGAAGTTCTCCTGAACGATGTCATGCTCAAAGATCCGGAAGATGATGACACCTTTGTGTTTGGGCTGGGTTTTAGGGTTTAGGGTTTAGGGTTTAGGGCTTAGGGTTTTGGCAATCAGCCCAAGTTTAGCGGCTTAGGTTTTGGGGCAGGTGGCAGACGTAGCACAACCAACAAATCCTGAAATTGTACTCAACATTGTCCACCAACTGCTGCTTGTTATCTGTTTGGAATTGATGTTAAGGAGGGGATACTTATGAGGAGTTTTCAAAACGGAATGTATTTTTTAAAGTTCTTAAGAACAGAACCCTAAAGTACACCAAATCAAACTCATCGCCCGTTTACATTCTATTATAGTCCAGACGTATGAAGCTCCTGTTGTGGCCTTTACATCGTTTGAGGCTACCCCCCGGACCCTAAACCCCAAGCCCTAAGCGCTTAACCTCGGACTGCCAAGGCTTACCCCAACCCTTAAACTTAAGACCGTAACCCTAAACTCCAAGTCTTAAACTTCAGACGCTAGCCCTAAACCTTAACCCCAAACCCTAAACTCCAAACGCAAACCCTACACCGGAAACCCTAGAAATCAAACCAAACCTAACGCCGACTCTACACCTGAAACCCCTGAAATCCTTGAAGCCCTAAACTTCAATGTACAACCGCGGACCCTGAACCCCTCAAACCCCTGAATCCTAAACCCTCAGTACGCCCACTTCCCATTTCATTTTCCGTTTTCGTTTCCATTTGATTCAAATTACTGACCTAATCTCTAAACCCTTGGTGAGGCCCTTATACAGCCGGAAGGGCTATCCCGGCTATCTCTATGTACTTAATCATCCCTACATGACCCCGCGAAAGGAGTTCCAGAATGATAGATGCAGTCCTTGAACTCCTTCAGCCTTAAGTCCTGAACCTTGAATCCCCAGTCCTAAACCCTAAACCCTAAACCCTGAACCCTAAACCCCCAAACCCTGAACGAAGGCCATCTCTGGACTTGGGGAAGTCATTGATGAGCAGCTGGCTGAGATCCTCATGGAGGAGTCCCCTGGTTATCCTTGGAGTCATTCCTTGGGGTTTAGGGGTTTTTGGGTAGTTTTAGGGTAGAGATCTTGGAGTCTTTCCTTGGGGTTTAAGGTTTTTGGGGTAGTTTTAGGGTAGGGAATGAAAGACCAAGGCAGTTACTGAAGTATTTAGGGTGTAGGGCTTGGTAGGGATTGAGGCAAGGGGCTATAGGGATTATTGCAGGGGCTATTTAGAAGACCATTCCCTCATTCCCTACTAAGATCCAGCTAGCTCAAGGGCGCCTTTGACATTCCAGTTTTTTTTTCGAAGTCAGCCATGTAGAGTCCTCGACGGAGCCCTTTCTTTGTAATCACATAGTTGCCCAAGCTAGTTGCCTATTATGCCAGTATGCGGGACTGAAGTCCCAACTAGGAAACAACTCCCATCCCGACAAGCCATGCGCCCCATCGTATCAAACTCACCCGGGCTCCATAGAACTTTCTTCGTAACTAAGGTTGTTTGCACATAGTTTTGCAAATTTGCATATGAATGTGCACAGCCCCTAGATATGTCTAGGGGCTGCCATGATACTTCATGGAGTCGTCAGCGCTGAACACAGGATCGTGGCAGGGGGGGTTGTAGGAACCGCACGCTAAACCCTAAACTCTGAACCCCATACCGCCTAAACCCTATTCTCAGATTATGCGGGCACATGAGGTTTGGCGCTGATCTGAAGAATTTCCGTCAGGCACAGCGTGCCTCTCGACTGAGTGCAATGCTAGTAGTAGTGGGTGGGATCACCTAACGTTAAGGGTCTCTCTTGAAACCAAAGGCCTAAATCCCAAGCCCTAAACCCTGGGCCCTAAACCGTCATGTCTGGCCCCCAATTCGTCAGCGCCGGGATCCTTACTTTGAAGCAGTGGGTTCAGAGGTAATGGCTTAGGGCTTAGGATTTAGCGACAACGGTGTAGGGTGCAGGATTTAGGGAGTATGAAGAAGGGTTTAGGGCTTAGGGTTTGAGGCTTAGGGTGCGGGGTGTTGTGGACCCGAAGCATTGAGTCATTTAGCTGCATCTGCAGGACGTAGGTCCTGGGCACTGGCCCTGAAACGTTGAACTTAGCAAGCCTCAAGCTCAAAACCCTAAGTCCCCAAAACCTTACCTCTAAACTCTAAACCCTAAATCCTTAAGTCACTCAAGTCCCCTAGCAACCCTAAAGTCCCTCAACTTTTCGTTTAAGAACCATTTGCCCAAGGACTTCAACCTGAAACTCAGCCTTCTGGTCGAAGAGCGGCCGGGAGAGGATCCGGAGCCGCCGGGCTGGCGATGAGGGGGATCCTCGGGATTTTAGGGGGTTTCCCAAAATTAGGGGTACTTTTAAAGGGGAATATAAGGGTTATATAGGGTTACATAGGGTCATATAGGGTTTAGGGATTAAGGTCTAGGATTTCCCAAATTAGGGGTACCTTTTTGGGGGTCTCCCTAATAAGGATTATAGTATTTGGGGGTCTATTTTGGGAAACTACCATTTAGGGTTTGGTTTGTAAGTGTAGGGATCTAGGGATTCAGGATTTGGGGTGTAGGGATTCAGGGTCCAGGGTTTAGGGATTTAGGGTTCAGGGTGAAGGGTTTATGGCTTAGGGATTTGGGTTTTGGCGGGAACTGGGTGTTTCCGTTACTTGGTGTCTAGGCTTTCCAAACATTTGGGACCCTTTTTGGGTACCTTTATACGGCATGTTTTCTCGGGCTTATGGAAATTCCCATTTTGGATCTTGAGGGATGTGAGGTTTAGGGTCTAAAGGGTCTTAGGCACTTTCACGCTTCATGAGCACACTGGAGCCGCCAACCCCAAACCCTGAACCCTATTTCTCAATACGGGGAACTCCAGAAGTTTTGGGCCCTCGTCTTGGCGGTCTTCATCAGAAGGATTCGAGTACTTTTGGGTGAAGGAGCGGCCCGCGATTCTTATAAACTCCCATGTCTGTCTTAAATTCAGCCCGAAATCCTAGACTGACAATCCTCAACGCCTCAAACCCCAGAGACCCTGAACATTAGCCTTCTACCCTGCACCCCAACCTCTGTACCCTGAGCCGCAAAGCTCCAAATTCTGAACCCTAACCCCAAGAACCATAAACTTTGGGGTACTGCCCCCACTCTGGGGCCAGTACCCAATCAAACTACAAACTTACCCTTGCCCCCCAGAACCCTAACCCTGAATCCTGATTCCTGGACCCTAGACCCTGATTCCTTAACCCTAAACCCTAGTCCCTAAACCCGAAGCCTTAAACCTTCAATTATCAGGTTGGATCTTCTCGGCTTTCTTGCCTACAAGACCTGGGGCCCGCCCCAGCCGGGGGTGAGTGTAGGCCCGGGACAGCAGGATTGATAGGAACTATAAACTTAAGTCTTTAAGTCGGGGTCATATAGGCTAGTATTATATAGGGTATTAAGAGGGATATCAGATTAGGCTTCAGAGGCTGTAGTGCGGCTTATGGACCGTAGGATTTGATTGGGTTTACAGGGGGACATGGAGTCCTGTGATAGGTCATGCAGGTGAAATTTCGAGAGGATCCTGTTCGAAGTTTGCGTCTTGATGCTAAGTTGTGGTGAGAGATGCAGGGTTCTTTAGGGTTATTGTTTAGAGAATGTGTCTATGTTTCTATGAGCCCTAGTCTAGACACTTATAAACGGCTTAGACAGGAGATTATAACTGGGATTACAACAGGGGACGGGGGTTATTAAAGGGGATATTAGGAGTTTAGTCTATAGCTCATATGGGTTGTTGTCGGAGACCGCACGGTTATGTGGTCAAATTTGCGATTCAGCCGTATTCCTGTCCTTGTCATCGGATTCCCATAGGCTTTCTGCATCCGAGATAGGGCACCAAAGACAATCAAGAGCCGTGGACAACTCGTCGTGTACGCACCTTGAGTACTTCCTGCTTTTGAAGGGAATTGGCCCTAGAGAAACGGCTGAAATACAAAGGTTTTTTCCCTCCTCAGCCTAGAACGAACCCACACCCTGTATAACCCCTATTTAATCCCTATGTCACCCCTACATGTCCCAATATATTCCCTATGGAATCCTTGAATAGTAGACCCAGACCTCAACAGGTGCTGTGGGTGTGGCAGATAAACATCGGGGCAAGGGCTACGGCCGCAAGCTTATGAGACTCAGCTTCACCCTTGGGTGTGGGGATTTTTTAGGGGAAAGGGGTTTAGGGTTTAGGGTTTTGGGGATATAGGTACCCATTGGGGTAAAATTAGGGTTGTGGTGAGTTATTGGGCTACAAGCTCACGAGACTCAGCTTCACCCTTGGGCTGGTGGGTCTGGACACCTGGTTTAGGGTTCGGGGTTTGGGTCTTGAAGCCTGAATCCTGGAGCAAACGCCTTCAACTCTGAACCCCCAAGCCCTGAGACTAGAGTCATAGAGATTATTTGAGCGGATCTGATCTTCAGCTCCTCGCAAAGGCCCTCAGCCTCAAGCCCTAAACATCGAACCCTGAATACTAAACCTTAATTCCGAAATCCTAAGCCCCAAGTCCGAAATGCCAAGCCCTCTCCCAACCTCAATGAAACTGGCTGGGGATTAGTTGGGTATAAGGGAATATACAATCCTTACCAACACTCAGCAAGGAAAGTGGCTGAAGACCGCGCAGCCCTGCTGGGCATCAGTACTTCAGAGGCCCAGACCTGCCACAAGTGGTGGTGGAAAGGAGTGCCCAGTAGGGTCTAGGGTTAGGATTTAGGGTTTAGGATTTACGGTGTAGTGTCTCTGAAAAAGATGGGTGATTAGGGTTTGGAGGCTTCGGCGGCCTCGGGGTATGAGGAATACCAAGTGAGTAGGGGGTCCATACGGCTTCTGCAGAGGCATTTGTAGAGTATCACAAACATTTCAGTTTCAGGGGTCGGCACCCGAAGAAGCTAGATTGTGCAGCAAAGCAGCATGATGGTGCAATAAGCCATCATGCTTTGGCTCCCATACTAACCCAGCTCAGGTGATAGTTACTTCTCAACATCTTTCAAAAGTGAAGAGTATACCCAATGCCAATTCAGCGGCCAAGGACCTAAGCCTTCAGCAGCACATGATACTGTTACAGCTCATTTGAGCCATAGTCTAAACTCCTAGTACCCCCTTAACACCTCCTTTTGTACTCCCTTTTGACGCCCTTTTTTAACACCCGTTTAAGGAGTTTAGAGTACAGTTCATTTGAGGCTAGGATCCTTTGGGTCATTCCCCCCACCCAGTAACTGTTCTTAAAGGGGGCCTTACTAAGGGGGTTCCTTATAATTCCTATTACACTCCCCCAAACTAACATGGAAACCCATATAGCCCCCCTTTAAAAGGACTGTGGTCTTTACAGGGCTCTTTTTGGGTTTCCATGTTATAATTCCTATGACCCCTTGTGGTAACAGTTACTGTTAGGTGGACTAACCCAAAGGATCCTTTTCTTCCCTGACCTGAGCCTTGATGCGACTTGCAGTGCTACTCACATTGGTTGCAGCACTCCTGAGGGAGGTGAGCTACGGTCCATATTAGCCTTATTAAGGCACCAGTCCCTCATGTTGGGGTTATATTGGGATCATGGAAAATAAAATGGAAACTACTATATTCTATGGGGATTATTAGCCTTATTAAGGGACCAGTCCTTAATACAGTCCTTCAGCCCATGTCGAGTAAATTATGTAGGAACATTGAAGGTAGCTCATGTGAGCTCCGGGATGAACTTACAGTAGGACTTTGAGCAAGCTTTATAGTCAAAACTCCTTAAAGGGTGTTATCTAGGGGATGATACAGGGAGAGTATCATAAGGGTTATGAAGGGGGATACGAGAATATGGCTCATACAGACCATATGGGTAGTTCCCGAGAACAACCCATATGAAGCCTCATGGTTCGCCCTGGCTTCAGAAACTTTGCAATCAACTTGAATCGCAGCCACAAGCATTTGTTCTGAAGACCTTTGCCACCAAATCCGTGTCTGGAACTCCAAAGCTTCAAACCTATGTATCCTTACATACCTATATAGCATATACCTGTATAACTTCTTAAAAGGAGCACTCTATATAAGTATAGATATAAATAAACACACATATATATATGTATGTATGTATACATGTATTATTGCATATACACATTACCAAAACCTTGAAAACTGATTCATGCAAGCCTCTAATGCAGAACAATCCTGGGCAATAGGAAATTTTGCATCTTCACGTTATTGCAGGTTTTAAATTGAATTTTATAGCACCCTTCCCCCCAAACCTTCAAAACCCGAATACTCCTAAACCTTATGTATTTCTACATACGTATGTATACCCCCCGGAAAGGGATCCGTTACATAGTGTGTATATGTATATATATATGTGTTTAGACATACATATGTAATGGTACATGCACACAGAGACACACAAACACATGTATGTATATATGTATCTATGTATATATCTACATAGATACATATGTACATATGTATACATGTATATATGTATATGTATATGTATATGTGTATATATATATGTGTAGACGTGTACATGTGTATATATATATAACACATATATATATATATATGCAAAGTCGTCAGGGCTTCCGGCCTGGCGAAGTTCGCCTCCGCTCCCTCGCCTCCGCGGTGAGATTCTACGAGCGGATTGGCCTCCGAGCCGCATATGGCCTAGGGCTATGTAGGAATATATGGGAGTATATAGGGGTTGGGGATTTTGCAGGGGTTATGTGGGGTTTTGGGTTTTCGGAAATTCTCTTTCAGGGTTGGGGTTGAGGGGGCAGGCCTTGTAGGGTTTAGCGTTTTATGGTTCAGGAATTTGCGCCTAGGATTTGGGATGTACCAGTAGGGTTAAGGATCTAGGAATCACACCGCCGGATTTTTTGGGATGTAGAGGTCTTAGGGCGGCTTTGTGTCCTGGGCGGTTCTCGGGTCAGAAATATAAACCCTAAAACCTATAGCCCCCCTTAAGTACATAGAATATGGGGTATATGGGAATCTTATGACAATGTACCCAAAGCCATATTCTATCTACTTAATGGGGACTATAAACTATAAACCCTTAACTGTGGGGTTCGCCGCAGTTGCAGCGGGTACAGCGGCTGAGGCAGCCCAAGCTCTTTTGACTTCGTTGGAACTGCGGCGAACCACGCGGTTAAGGGTTTATAGTCCCCCTTAAGTAGATAGAATATGGCTTTGGGTACATTTTCATAAGATTCCCATATACCCCATATTCTATCTACTTAAGGGGGGCTATAGGTTTTAGGGTGGAGTTTCGCTTGTCGAGAAACCCTGAGGGAGGATTGGGGTTGCGTATGCAGATTTGGCCCCGTTGAAGTTCCGGTTTTTGGAGAGGGTTTATTATGGTGGCGCACGACAAACAACACTAACATTGTGAGCCATCTCTAATGCTGTGACATCCTAGAGGAGTTTACATGCGACTTACAGTGAAATCTCAATTCAAATGGCTGCCATTTTCTTTTCCATTATCCCTTTGTGACCTCAATATATACCCCATTACTATGTAGTAGTTTCCATCGTCTTTACCATCATTCTTATAAACCGCCACAAAAAGCTTGTTCAAGCGGACGTCAGAATCCACGCTGGCCTCGTTGCCCAAGGTTACGAGCGGGTGGAGGCCAGTCTGACAAGCCTGCTTGTGGGCTGTGGCTTAGGGTTTAGAGTTTAGGATTTAGGGTTTAGGGCTTAGGACCTAGGATCTAGGAGTTTGGGTTCAGCGTTCTGTTTGAAGGCTTCATCGTGGCTTAGGAAGGCAGCTTGTTAGTGCGGGATTCAGGTTTGAGGGCATAATTCGGCAGGCTCAGGGCTCATGAGGGTGCAGGTACATGTAGGGCAGCTATAGCTGTGACTTCATTTTGGGTACCTAGGTTTCTGGAGCTCATCCAGTAGCAGTTCGCCCGATTTTGTTCGTCATGGGGTTTTCAAAGGTGTGTAGAAGGAACCCGGGAACTCTGGCGCTGGTTTAGGGTTCAGCTTACTGGTTCAAATTGAGTATTTGGGGGCCTTGTCGGGTATTCTTTTGGGGAGTCCCTATACCATCTATATTTTGAACTGCAATATTTTGGGGTCTACATTTGGGGCCTACATGAGTCATCAGCCAAAGCAACCTGTGAGCCTGCATCAGATGACCTGCTGGCCGCGAGTAGGAAATGAAGGAGTGCAAGAGAATGGAAGCCAGTCTTTAGGGTGTAGGGTCTAGAGAAGGGAAAAGAAAACGGACGTCATGATATTCTTGGGGATTATATAGGGGCTTCTAGAAAGATCCATTCCCCGCATGCCCCACTGACAACCAACAAGATAACCCTAAACCCTAAAACCTAGACATTTACCCACAAGGCCGTAGATTCCACCTGCCTTCCATGTGATCGTCCATTCCCTACTATCAGCCATTAAGATAACTTGCAAGCCCAAACATCTGTTTCAGATTTTCAAAACCACATGGTTGAGGGTTTAGGGGGTTGCGCGTGCATCAAGGAGAAGGATTTTGGCAGGAGCCCGTTGCAAGCAAGATCCCACAACGGGATGTGTACAATACCTCTTAGTGCCCCCCCCTTACATGAGAACTTCCCTATAGTGGGGTTCCTATTCTAATATGGGTCCCTAAACCCTAAACCCTTAAACCCCTAAACCCTAAACCTGAAAATAATCTTCCCACTTTGGGCAACAGCAATTTAAGCCAAGCCCCACATAGCAACACCGGCCTCTAAGTCGAAAAGGCTCAGTCCAGGAAGTGCAAATTCAACACTTGACTATTCATCAGGGGATCCGCAAGGCCCAAACCCCAAACCCTAAAACCCTAAAACCTAAAACCCTAAAACCCTAAACCCTAAACCCTAAAACCCTAAACTTGAAACCCGAAACCTCAGACCCTAAATCCAAAACCTTAAACCCTAAACCTTAAACCCTAAACCTTAAACCCTAACCCCTAAACCTTAAACCTTAACCTCGGTTGCCCTCTAGATGCCTTCAAAGTCCTCCTTCTCAGGGGGTATGTAGGTCCTCTAGCAGTGCCTAGAGGTTGCTGAAAGGGTTCGGGGTTTAGGCCCTAAGCCCTAAAGCGCATGCACTTCTAGTCCAACAAGTGATGGGTATGGCCCCCCAACAGAGGGATTCAAGGTTCTCTTATAAGGGTTTAGGGTTTAGGGTTTTCATGAACCTATCCATGAATGAATGGACTTAGTGGGGGTTAGTAGGGAATAAAGGATGGGGATTTTACAGAGACTATCTTTTCCTATTCTACTAACCCCCACCCAGTAGGCAGTACAATGTAGAATCACCATGGTAATCCTAAACACTCAGCCTTCATTGAAGTTCTAGGAAGCCTAAGCTTTAACTGGAAACCCTAACGGAGGAGGACGAGGAGGAAGCCACACACACCCCCGCGTGCCCCGACCCGGAGCGTCACGCTGGGGAAGTGGACGAGGACCAGCCCTAGGATGGGGTTTTGGGTTTGGGGTTGAGGGTTTAGGGTCTTTTTTTTTGGATTCGGGGAATAGAGGCTTATGGATTTAGAGTTTAGGGTTTAAGGTTACAGGTTACAGGGCCTTATACTGTAAATATTCACAATGCTTACCATATTTGGTTATCGCGCAATATCTGTTCCTTCACTTGTTTGGTTGAGGCTGACGGGCTCAAAGATGCAAAGGACAGGATCAGTCCCTTAACCCTAAACACTTAACAAGGGTGAAGGATGTAGTGTTTTGTATTTAGAATTTGGGCGGTTTGCGGTTCTGCGAGTTATGTGCGATTTGGATTGTTGTGCGTCGCAGTCCCGTCTGGTTCATATGAGTAGCTCCTGGGATTTGTAGCGTGCACTTGCTAGTGACATGAAGCTCGTGTTCTGATCATTTGTCCGAGTTGTCTGTGAAGCTCTAAACCCTAACCTGCTTAAGGGAAGGTGACCCAGCCTCAGTTTACCTTGATTAGAAGGCCCACAACCCTGAACGTATGGGTCTCCAAGGCTTGGTGGGTTTAGGGTTTATGGGTGTGCGGTTTGGGGGTTTAGGGTTTAAGGGTTTAGGGTTTAGGGGCTTAGGGATTAGGGGTTTAGGGTTTAGAGGTTAAGGTTTTATGGGTTTAGGGATTAGGGTTTAGGGTTTAGGGCTTGGTTTCACCATGGTTCATGTAAGCGGCATGCAGAGGAATTGCCAGGGGCGAGGGAGGAGTGTTGACAAGGAAGTTTTGCATGGGACAAGCAGCCTACCCTCTTTACTAAGCTCTTTCGCGTTTGAGGTTTTGCAGGATTTAGGCTTCATGGTTTTCGTCGTCAACATTGTCCACGTTACCTGAGCGGGACACATGCCCAGCTTGACATGACCAAGAAGGATGGCAGTTTAAGCTCACATGCATAAACCCAGAATGCCACATGTGGGGACACCATCAAGCAACACTTGCAGCCACCGCCAAGCCTGCAAACCCTAAACCCCTAAACCCCCAAACCACGAAAATCCCAAACCCTAAACCCCATAAATACGTATGTCTTGCTATGGATCCTCTAGCACCCTTTGGACAACACGCCCTGTGGAGCCCCAGGACGATGAGGATGGCCCTTGTGTGCCAATGGCACGGAAGTGTGTCCCTCCGAGTCCTGTTACCCTGATGAAGATGGGCGCGCGTGGCTGCATTGAGAGCCCTGCGCGTTCGTATTGGGATTTCTCCCCCAACGAAGCGGTCCTCTTTTATACCCCCTAGATACCGTCGTCCTTCTTGTAGGGACTTTCAGCACGGGACCCCAAGTTTTTGGAAACCCCATTAATGATAGATATAGTAATAGCAATAGTAATAATAGTAACGTAACCATAATTTTAGTAATAGTAATAGCAATAAGTAATCGTACGTCACAATAAAAGAGTAGTGATAACTTGGGGTCTGGGGCTGTGTGGGCTGAGTGTTGCAGGCCGGGGTGGGGGCGGCGGATGGTGTGGATCTTTGATGGCCTGGCCTCAGCTTCTTCCTCTCTGTGATTGGGTTCCACAAATACCCATTCAGGATGTAGAAGCCCTAAACCCTACACCCTCTACCATGAAACCGCAAACCCTGAACCCTAAACCCTAAACCCCACACTCCGAACCCTAAAGCCTAAACCCTAAACCGTGTTCTAGTTGCTACTTACGCTCCGTAGATTTCGAGCCATGGCAGAAGAACTGCGCCTTGAGCCGCCTCGGCTTTTCTTCGATCAGGCTGACAGCCTCTCGGCTCTGCTTAGGGTTTAGGGTTTGGGGTTTACGATCAGCTAGAGCTGGAAGCTAGCAAGGCTTCCTACTTTACCATGCGTGTTTCGTATGATCCCACCCTCCCAGAATCCTTTTTCATTTAACACTTTCGCTCGCTTTTCTTCCTCGCTCGCCACCTGCTCCTGTCCCCCATGTCCCATATCTATATTTGCTTCAAACATTGAACACGCTCGTTTCCTAGCATCCAGAAAAGTCCCAACAGTCTTCAGGGCGATTACTTTGTTTTGATTGAAAGCAAACTTAAATGCCATCGTCTTGAATTGATACTAATCTGTTCAAGGCTTTTGTCGGGAGCCTCCGGAAGCTTCAGGGGCCTTCCAGGGGCCGACCCAAATCACTGCACAGTCCTATTAATAAATAAATAAAACAATATATATACAGGTAAAGAAGGTTTAGGTGAAGGGTTTAGGGTTTAGGGGTTATATTGGGGTTATATTGGGATCATGGCAAAAATGGAAAGAATTACATTGTAATAGGGTCTAGGGTTGAAGGTTTAAGGTTTAGGTTTCAGGGTTTAGGGTTCAGGGTTTTGTTTAGGGGTGCAATTTTTTGCCTTTTGAATGTCACGCTACATCCCTACACCCAAATTCTTAAACCTCCTCAAACCCTAAACTCTTAAACCCTTAAACCATAAAAAGCAAGCTAACCCTGCAGAAGCCCTGAGTTCCAGACTACTGCAGGTCTGGATGCAGCCGAAAAAATTCTTCCGCAGCTGCTGGATGACACCTTCTCTTACTTAGTTGAGAATGGTGCAGGGCTTTGGGTGCAGAGTTAAGGGCATAGGGTTTAGGGTGATTTTGTGTTTTCTTTTGGGAATCTTACTTGCACTGCTATGGGGCTCCATTGCTCCAATCGAAACTTAGCTGGAGTAAGGACATACGCCGTCATGACTTGCCAGCCCGAACGGTGGCTGGGGCAGAGCAAACCTTGAAGACCGGAATCCATTTGTTGGGAAGGCACTGTCCGAGGATCTGTTTCCTGGGCCGCCAGGTTGATCTTTTGGATGTTTTGGGCTAGGTTTAGGGTTTATGTTTCAATCATTCTGCCCAATGGCCGTCTAGAACCCATTGAGCAGTCATGTTTGCCAGAAGCCCGCTGTTTGAAGTCCTGCCCGCCATACATTCGTTTGCAGGTTTTCCAAAGACGGTGTTCACAAGCACCGGCGAATTTGCCTTCATAGACACAAGTACTAAATAACAACAGCCCCCCCACCTGTACATCTAATCTCTGCAAGCCCTAAACCCCAAACCCTAAATGACTATCAAGGTTGTTCCCTAAGAATCCTTACCACCCCTTATTCAAGGCTCCTGCATGACCAATCAAATCCACCAGTGTTATCTGTGTGCCATTCCCGGTGGTCCCTACAGCCTTCCAAGTCACCATTAAGATCAGGGTTTGCTACTTCACTTTTTTCTGGCAGTACTGTTTATCTTTCTTATTGAGGTTGCAGCATGTCGTAAAAAGGATCCTCATGGGCTCAACCGCGAGAATCCATACCCAGAGCCGTAAACCCTAATCCCCAACTCCTAAACCCCAAACTCCAGGACCAGCAACTGTCAACCCTCGAGCCTTAAACCCGCAACCCCTCCAAGGCAAAACGGGAAGTGGGAAGACGTCGCTCATGAATGCAGTGCTTGGCAGACCACTGCTGCCTGCGGAGGAGTCTTGTCCATGAGCTTTCGGCTTAGGGTTTCGGGTTTTGGGTTGGGGGTTTAGGGCTTAGGGTTCAGGGTTTGGTATATGGTAGTTTCCCTAAATAAGGGAACCCCACTATAGACCCCAAAATACTAGAATCCTTATTATAGGGACCCCCAATAAGGTACCCCAAATTTTGGGAAATCCCCATATAGGTTTGTTTCAAGGCCAGGATTGAGGGTTTTAGGGCTTACGGTGTTTGCAGGGCAGCTGCCAGGATTCTGTAGGGTTGCAAAATTATGTGAAGGCAGGGGCCCTTCTGGTGCTATAAGCCTCTTCAAGCTAAACCACCCCAAAACCTGAAACAAAAAAAAACCAACCCTAAATTATAAACTTTCAGCATTGAGTGCGTGGTTTATGCGAAGAGTGGCTTGCAGGTTGGGTGCCAGTTGTCATGCCTGTAGTCAACATGCAAACAGATAACGCAAGGTTTCGGGCTTTGAGAGTTTAGGGTCTAGGGTTTAGGGTTCAGAGCACAGTGAAACGCAAATCCATGCAACGACTGCCTCAGCCTGCTGGAGCATCGAAGCTGAGACAATGGCCATGTCAGTGGGAGTTCTCTCAAGACGATGACTGCATAGTTCTTCGTAGGGAGCCCCATCATGTCATTTTGATCCAGATATTTCCCTAGGGTCCCTTGGGCTCCCTATTTGAACAACCCCCGTGTTCCAGAACTGTGATCCCAGTGCTGGGGTTCATCAACCCAACACTTTGGAGCCCTAGAAGACTAAGCCCCAAGAACGCGCACACGGCAACCTGCAACCCTAAACCCTAAACCCCCAAACCCTGAACCGTAACCGAATGGCTGAAGTTAGCGGAGGACACCGGCAAAGCCGTCACGAGCGCTGTGACCGAGCTCTTCCACGATCCCAGCATCCAGGATGGAGGGGCATCTTGTTTGCAGCAGGTCTTGTGCAATCTTCAGGGTTTAGGGTTTAGGGTCAAGGTTCATTCTTTTGCTGCGTTCTTATGTAAGATCGTCAGACACCTTGCACGACATGTTCTGACCTCACGCGGACCTCACTTAAAATGATGGTTCATATAGAAGATGGTCCCACACTGGCTTGACTTCAGGTCCTGAAAGTATTGTACAACAACCAGCATGTTCCTTCTCACTGGGTCGCACAAGAAGGGAAAAGCTTGTGATGCAAAGGCACCGGCTTGTCTCCATACGTATCCTTACTAGGGGTGAGTGGGGAATAGGGGAATATAAATACAATCCCTAGATAATCCCTTTGTAATATATTCCCCTTATTCCCTACCCTAACCCCTAAACCCTGAAGCCCATGTATTTTATCCCCTAAACCCCTACTAACCAGCAGTACGTAGCAGAGCTACGAGGTGAGGAATGAATGGGAACCATGTCACAGTTGCGTACTATAGAAGCCCAAATAATTAAGGGTTTAGGGTTTAGGGTTTACCAACATTATCGGGTTTGGGGTATAGGATTTATATCCCTGTATACTCCCTACATAATCAGTATTGGATACCCCAAAACCCGATTTGCGCCATTCTTGAAATCCTGACGTAAATTGACATGCTCTGCCTTGCGTTTTGCATTCCCAGCCTTCTAGATAGCTACCTTCAATGAGTGTACAGACCACTCTTGTTTCATGTTCCCAGACTCATGTCCGCTTTACCCCAAAACCCGATTCTGATTAAAAAGGCCCCTGTGTTAGTTCTGGATTGAGGGACGTCCGTACCAAACTGAGTGCAGAGGTAGAGCGAGGCGCCTGCGCCATGATAACACAGAGATTCTAGTGAGCACATTTGAGCTGTAGTCTAAATTCCTCAAAGGGGTATGTAGGCGATTGTATAGGGGATAATTATAGGGGTTATTACAGGGGATACTGGGAGTGTAGTCTATGGCTCATTTTTCTTTCTCCCCAAATTTCGAGCTGCTATGATCTCAGGTTGTGATCACGGTGAGTGAGTGCAGCCTGGACGAGTGGAAGGACAAGAAGCGTATGTTGGTCAGCGTCATGCAAGGTGGACTCGTGGGAATCAGGGTTTCGGGCAGTTATACTTGTCCTGCCCTCAAAAGATGTTTGCTGAGTTGCCCCTATATAAATCTCTTGCAATGAGAGGTTCTCAAAATCAGGGGTGCTCAAAGGCTTTTCCAAGAGATGGGCTTATTCTTTGTATCAGCACCTCAAAAACACCCATTCCTCGCTTTTGCAACCTGAGGCCAGCTGTTGAGAGAATCAAGCTGCCTGTTACGCATGCAGGTTAAAAAATCAATGGAATATAAGCCTCCTTGAGGTTCCAGAGGTATGCAGCACGAATATAAGTTCCAGATCTTCATGTGTTCATTAGAAAAAGCTCTAATTTTGGGGTCCCTATTAGAAATCCTTTAACCAGCCCCCATAGCCTTGGTTCGGAGTTTTCCACAAACCCTGAACTGCTGAAAGCCTGCAACCCAACACCTGCAGAACCTCCAAAACTAAGTAACTAAACCCTAATCCCCAAGCCCTAAAACCTAACCTTAAGCCAGAGATCTCTAGGCCTAGTTGGAGTTCCAGGGTCAGTCTAGTTGCAGTGCCATGCCTAGTCGTGGAGCCGTGGCAACTGACTTGTAAACCATAAATGGTACTCTCCATAAACCGGGGCCCAAATTTCGGAAACCTTGAACCCTAAACCCTATATACCTCTTTCACACCCTTTCTCGGTACCCCTATTTAAAGGTACCCCAACTTTGGGGAAATGACCACTTAGGGTCGCAACTGCAATTGTAAGGCTTCGGGTTTTCTGAGCCCATCCCCATTCAATCCGTTCTCCACTTTGATTGAATATGGCTCCCCTGAATGAAAACGCAACCCACTATCCAACTCATCCATCCCCAGCTTACTTGAGGTATAGTATTGTCTAAATTTGTTCAGGGGGTTATATAGGGGAGTATTCTAGGGGTTATTGAGGGAGATACTCGGAGTTTAGACTATGGCTCACTTGAAGTCTTATGACATTTTGTGACTAGGTAGAGCTCGTTTTCGTGCTCACTCGCGCTCATAGCAAGCCGTGAAAGATTTGTTTGGCGTTTTTGAACGCAGGGTAAGAACTTCATTACGATTCTACCACAATACTCTATAAGTGCAGTAGTACTATATTTCTAGATTACAAATTAGTACGATGATGCTTTTAATTCGATGTTTGTCCCATGGCTTAGTCGTGCTTAGTTGGGAACTGGAGAAAATGTGATGACCCTAAACCCTAAACCCTAAACCTGGGGAAGTCATGGGGATCGGTAGTGGGAGAGGGGGCCACTCTAGGAATCCATCCCGCTCATTTCCAATTCATGGTACAAGGCAAAAAGAGCTTCCTTATAATCCTATCATCATTGTATGAGCCTTATGACATGGGGTGCCTAAGTGCCAAACACTAAACCCTTGACTTCTCAAACCAAATCTTAAACCCTGAATCTTAAAGTCGTAAGCCTGAGACCCAACTTGGTAACTACTCATCCGACACCGTCTTTCATCAAGCTTGCCGGCTGGTCAAAACCCCTTAAAGTGGGGGTATATAAGGGATTATATCGGGGACTACTATTGGAGTTATTTGAGAGGGATACTAGGAGTTTACATTATGGACCATATGATCACCAACAATAATATGGGAGTGCTCGTTTTCTTCTTTTCTCCAGTCCCCACACTCTAGAAAGTTGCTTCCATTTTTCCATTCCTTCTATCAGTGCTAACAACCTGCAAGTCAACCCTGAACCCCGCATATTTCTGTAAAGCTACCAGTTTTAATTTTCTTTTCTATTTGCTTGTAGGCTTGGCTTTGCATTCCCGTGACTTACCCCTGAATACTTTAGTATAGTATACTCTTTTTCATCCTTTACTGACAGCCGTGTTCATTTGTTTTTCCAGTTGTCTTTCCCGAAGATTCTTTCCCATTGTTACCCGAATCTTGAAAGACTAAGCCTTACACATCCCCGCTTGATTTTCCATACGTTACTGTTCTCAGCCTTTTAAAGGACCCAACAGCCAGCCAGTTTATGGGCACAAGCCTGATAGGCGACTTCTCCGAGGATGCTGGCGTTGCCGTGGAAGAAATGCAGGAAACGAGATGAAACGGGTTTTGATTTCGCAGTTTAGGGTTTAGGGATTGTATTGAGGTTCTGGGTGTAAGGGACCCCAATATAGACCCTAATACATTATACTATAGTCCTTAGTATAGGGACCTCCCAAATAGATACCCCTAGTTTTGGCCAACCACTGCAAAGCTCCAGGAAGTTGCCGAAGCCCTGGGCACCCTTAGCCCTAAGCCCTTAGCCCTTTAAATCCTACACCCTGAACCCTTAGCCCTAAGCCCTTAACCCTTTAAACCCTAAACCCATCAAACCCTAAACCCTAAACCCGACAAACCCTGAAGCCGGAAAACCTTAAAGCCTAAACCCCAAAACCCTAAACCCAACCCCTCACCCTAAACCCCTAAACCCTAAAACTCCAGGAAGTCGCAGAGATCGTTCTGCAAGTCGCCTGCCCGGACACGGAGCCATCAGCTGTCCGGCTGGACACCCTGGAGTCGGATGAGTTTGTGAGGAGACAGCTGGTAGGTTTAGGGTTTGGGGTTTAGGGCTTGGGCATTACCCGAACCCTGTAATAGTTGGATAATATTCATAATATAGTTATATAGAGCCCTTAATATAACCCCCCAGTATAGGCGGTTACAGGGTGGGGGCAGTAGCCAAGAACCTTCAGGCTCTTACTTCCTTTTCTTTTGCGGTGCATTTTGGGTAGGGTGGTGAGTTCCGGTCTGCTATGGTAAGGAACATGCTATGGCCGCTGTGGAAGAGCAACTGAAATCTTTAAATAAGTCTGACAACAATTGAGTAGTATTTTATTTGGGGATACTATGGTACCCAATATAGAGTCAGATTCTATCCTTCTTTTGGGGTATAGTATCTTATATAAGGAATATTATCTTACTAGGCTCAACCACCAAAAAAACATTATTCATTTGTATTGAGGAGACTGACAGGCAGCTCTCAGCCGACCCACCAGCACTTTCAGAGTGCCGAGGACGCGCGCAAATTCCTTGCGGACCGTGTCCATCTGGCAAACTCGCAGGACAGAGTGCAGTCAGTGCTCACCTCCAGAGTGCTCGTCCGGGGCAACTTCCCTAACATTCCGAAAGATGCAATCATGGTGGATTTACCTGGGCTCGAAGACTCAAACTTATTGCGCTCATCAGTTGCAGAAAGATATTTCGACCTATACTGCAACCATGCCTGGTTCTGCCTGGCCAAGGCCGAGAACCGCATCAGTAGCAATGCAGGGGTGCAAAGGCAAGTCAGGGCTTTGACGCGTGGCGGGAATGTCGACAACGTTCTCTTGGTGCGCACGCGGGCCGATGAGGCCCCTAAAAAGGGAGCAGCAGCTCTTGATCGCGAGCACGAAGACTTCAAAGGCCTGTTCACGAGACTGGGCCATCTTTGGATTAAAGTTGCAGTGAGATGAAGACGATTAGTGCATATAAAGAAAGGCAACACCCCCCCCATGATCATATAGTTCCTTACCCATATAGTTGTAAAGTCTTTGTGTGCGAATTCAGTAGTATATATTGTTGCTGGAGAGCGTGTGAAATAGTGCCAATATCGAGCAGGAGCTCCCTACCGAGTGGAAGAGCGATCCGGTTTTCTTACAATTCTGGTTGATGAAGCTCTGCGTATGGCTTTATAGTCCCGCTTAAGTAGATA